AAAGGTTTTTAAAATAATTTAATTATAAATTAAGTTTCAAAAAATTTATTATAATAATTTTTTAAAAATTCTTTAAATATATGTTTGCGTACTAATTGAATCATTTATCATTAATTAAAGTCGTAAAATTTCTTAATAAATTATAAAAATTATAATAATAAAAGTTTTTCTTTATAAGTAATTTTATAATATTCGATTATGATTAATATAGTTAAAAGTAAATTTTAAAAATTTAATCATAAAATTTTTTAAAATAAATCTTTTTTAAAAATTACAAATTTTTAGCTTCTAAGTAACATTAAATTTTTTATTATATAATTAAAAGAGAAAACTTGTTATATAATATATTACATATTTATAAAATTTATTTAAAAAATTTTTTTTAAAATATTAATTATTTATAAAAGTAAATTAGAGAAGAATTTATAGTAAATAAGTAGGCAAATTTGCTTGTGAAATCCTATATATAATCTAGATAATCTAAATATCACGTTATGATCTCAATATCATTTTTTAGTCTAATAACTATGACTTGATTACTATACTTTAATCTGAATATATAACCTGATTACTATACTTTTATCTGAATATATAACCTAATTACCACTCTTTAACCTACCTACTTTATTTTGATATTATCTTTTCTCATTTTCTAGTTATTTATTTAAGCCTATTCTGCTATCTGCTATTTATGCTTTTCTTTTATATATGATTTTATTATCACGCTATAATCTAAATATTACCTACTTTTTATTTTAAATATCACACTCTTTTTTCTTGTTTCTAAGTCATTTACATACCAAATTATATATTAATATTATTAATTTTCTATAGTTGTTAAGATATTATTTTATGGTAAAGGTGCTAATTTTCTGTATCTAATTGGATGTTAGATTTTATATTGAAATTCACATTTTTTTTTTATTCTTCTAATATACGTACAGTATATGTATATCAACTATAGAATATAAAACATATTTGCTGCTATACTCTTTTTAATTCAAAGTATAACGCTCATTGCACATTCTTGACCTCTTTCTTCTTTCTTCACCGTGAACTATTTTGTTTCTGAAAATTTTTATTTTAGAACAACAAAAAATATGTCGGATTCTGATTCGCCGCCTATCTTTTCACTTATTTATCCATCCATGTTGTTTATGTCATGAGATTTTCCTACTGTCATTTGAAATAATCTTTTCCAATATAGATGGATCGATGATTTCAAAATTCTTTGCTAATGGTTTAGTAAATGTAACAATCTCTTATCGTAAGTTGAGAACACGTCTTCCTCACGGGATTTTTACAATTTTCTAGTGCCAGCACCGAGTTCATTATATGCGATAATCTCAAACGTATAAAACCTAAGAAGCTGATGCAAAGACGAACTTTGTATGTCTCCTATTAATTTTTCTTTTTAGTTTGCGAAAACTTAACACCAACAATTGTTAAAAAATTTTAGTTCACAAAAAAAGTATGGGGGAGCTGACAAAGGTGTAATGTGTACTAGATATGCATGTATTAATTGAATACCATAATAAGTTTTACGAATGAGTGTGGTAACTGTTGTCATTTGGTTCCTGGGTTCCAAGTAACAGAAGCGTTAATATTCTTTGCTTTTGAGGATAATACAAACGATGTTTATAAATGTGAATTTCACTTTCTGTTCTTGGTAGGACAAATCACTTTCGAATACTTTGATATTACAGATGAAAGTGGCGTTTCTATAAGACATGCTGATCCCATGAGTTAATGATTTATTTGTGTCGCCACAAATTGTTAAAAAATTATTTATTTAAATAAGTTAATTACCAAAAAAATTTTTTTTCGGTTGTGTGAATTTTAAATGAGGCACAGTATCATCATTATCAGTTATGATAGAATAACTTTACGGAATATTTATTAAGTGTATTAAGTTATTACATCCAAATTTTAAATTTATGTAGTTAAAGCAATTAAAAAATATTTTATCAAAAATAATAAATGCAAAAATAAAAAAAATTTAAATTTAAATTGATATATGTTATACTATGATAAAATCATAAAACCTATTATTACATTAATAGCTTGAGTAATTTTTTTGCATTTGAGAAGATACATCTGAGATTGTTGAAGCCGAAGCATTTGCATAACCTTGATTATGCGACTGGAGCGCGTTGGCATTAGACATCCCAGGATTAAAAGCAAACGATAAAGAAGTTGGTGTAAATTGTTGCGGCATATGCTGATTGTGATAATAGGGTGATGATGAATTTTGTGCCATATAAGTATTATTAGATGAATGAGGTAGTGTAAAAAATGGTGGTATTCCATAATATGGTTGTTGCATTGGTATTTGATTTTGAGAGAATGAAGCACCATGTTGAGGCAATGGAAAATCTTCATGATGATATTTACTGCGTTTCACATTATCAATTGAAGATTCTCGTTTTCTTGTCATATATTCAACTGGAATAACAGGATAAGTATTAGCAGGAATTGAAAATAGCAAAGGGCTTCCAACGGAAGGTGTCTCAAATGTTGGAGGATTATTAACTCGGGGAGTATCCATAGCTTGAGATCCCCCGCAGCATGCTGCTTTTCCCGATGCCTTTGGAGACTTGTCTTTCAAATTTTCAGGTTGAATTTTAACCGAATCAATATCTTTGGACTTTGGAGAAACGAATTCTTGCTTATTATAGTTTACTGAACTCCAACTAACAGATGTATTAATATTCTGTTTAGTTGCGTTAGCAACCTTCAATGATTCCCCATCTTGAAGATTTTCGGACATTTCCTTATTTGCTTGTTCATTAGAAACCGTATCTTTATCCAGTAAATCACTACATACAAGAGATAGAACCGATAAATTCGATTTATCTTTATCATCTCTTTCTTTATTCGGAAAAATTTCCGAATTTGCATCCTTGGTTACACTCGTCGCAGTAAATTTGGACTTTTGCGACTCTTCTTTCGAAAGAACATTTTCGGATTTGACTGGTTGAGATTTAAGTTCGATCTTAATTGTCATGTCTTGAACCGACCCAGTTGAAGAATCCATACTAGAACAAGTACTAGTATCAAGAGTAGAAGTTTGATTTGGCCTTTGTACTGGCATAAGAATATAATACGGAACGCCTCCCGAACTTTGGGGAATGATTACAAATTGCCCAACACCATCGGATGTTGTCAATGTGATAGGTACTTGGGTTCCAGTAATTTGTGAAAGATTTACCGGTAAAATTTTGGGTATAGGGGTAAATTGATCATCGGCTTTTCTTTCCGTATTAGAGACGGGTACAATGACGGCGGGGGCAGGGATATCAGGAGGAGTACTTGTTGAAGAGATCGAAATTTTGACACCCTGCGCTATTAAATAATTCATGTGATGTGTTTATATATTTATTTATCAATTTAAAATTAAAGAACATTATATAAAGATATATATATTTTTTTTTACTTTTTTGTGTTCGACGTTTATAAGGACCTCTTTTCACACCTTTCTTTCTCACTTTTCGAATCGAATCCTTGCACGTTGCAGTGAGTTCATACTTAATACATCGTTGGCAGGGCCTTCCGTCGTCACATTTCTTGCACGCTTTTTGACAGTTAACTATATATAATCAAAAGAAATATAACGCAAAAATTAATAATTGTGTCGCATGTAACACAAAATGTAAAAATCGATTTTTTTTTTTCAAATGTCAACAAAAAAAAAATTTTTTTTGATAATGAATCTTTTACGCGTTTAATTTTTATCTCTTGAAATCTCACGATCTCAAGGTAGAATTATGATAGAAATTTGCCAAAACTTCATAAATTATAATTATACTAAAATAAACGATTATATCAAAAAATTTTTACTTACCACAAGCGTTCTTTACTTGCTTTCTTTTTTGCTTTACGGGAGACACTTGTTGGGAAGTAGTTCCGTTAAGGGAAGTGTGAACGAGTGCACAAGTAGTCCCTTGCGTTAAGCTTGTCGCTGGTGGCGCAGTAGGAAGATTTTCTATCTGAACCGCAGTTTGTTGCTGAGAAACTTCTTGTTGCTGTTTTTGGTTCTCCAAAGCGTATAAATTATTTTTTTCTGTTGTCATAGACATATCTGTACCTTTTATTAAACGGATATTTTTAAATATTATAAAGGGTTTAATAGGAGTTCAAGTATATATATAGCGGCAAAGACCTCCTATCTGAGAAGGGTTTGTGGAGTTTGTACAAAAGGAAAGAGGAAGAACGCGGAAATTTTTTAAGAGAGTCAGAAGCTCCTTATTTTTTTTAAAAAAAGAAACTGAGAGTTAAGAGGAGAAATACCGTATTTATACGTTGAACACGGGATATATCAGTATACTTTATTAAACTTTATGGACGTTGTTTCAATCGACAAGTCGTATGTTCTTCAAATGTCTATTTGCCCATTTACAATGATGTTAGTCATTAATTGAACTGCGATCGATATTTAACACATTCAATCTTAAGGAGTTTAAATTTTTACTCATAATCAAAATCAAATTATACTATTGAATTGTCGCATCTAGATAGTCAGATTTGCTGAATCAAAAACATCCGTCGTGATTTGTAATATAATATCATTAAAAATATCAATTTATTATGTTGAAATTATAATTGACTCGTAAACAGTATCTACACTGATGTTCGTTTATTGATGCTTTGATATATTTAATGACTAACCTTGGGAGAATGGCCGATTCAAGTAAAATATATGTTAATACTACAAGGAAAGATGCACCAAAATGAATTCCTAATGTATTAGTCATCTTGGAAGAAACGGATCATATTGGTGGGAACCAGGATCATGTTGGTGAAACTTAAAAAACATGTATGTTTCCTGATATATATCAGTAATGTAACACAACATTTCATTTTACGCATTTTCAGAATTATCTTGAAGGAAATCTTTTGGAAAAAAAAATGACAAAAGCGCGTAAATGTGAGGTAATTATTAAATTTTGTGCTACGTTACTGTAATCGATTATTCAGCTTATATTATTGTTTAGAAAATCGGCAATGAATCTCTATAGAATCAAAGGTTTTTCTTTAGAAACGTTCTTTCTCTTCGGGTCCTAAGGTGCGGGAGAGTCTCTTTTTTCTTTTTTTTATAATTTTATTTCCTTTTTAGGATTAAGTAAAGAACGATTTGATGATCGACAGACATCTCACGAGATTCGCGTGTAACTTGATCAAAAATGTATGTTTATGATTTATTTTTCTCGACAAAAAAAAAATTTTTTTTTTTTACAATGATTTCAACAAATTTAGAGCAATATAAATCAAAAAGACAACAAAAATTGGCACAAAAACAATCACAACTGAAACCTTCTACATATACGACACAAACCCCATTTAGAGACGCCGAAAGAAATTTTAAGTCGCGTTTACCACCGCCAGATTTCTCTAACGTAATAGATTTTTATAATTTAGATCAATGTAATGACGAACTTAAGAATAGAATCATAAAAATTGAATTAAAAGTTGAATTAGGTGAAAATGGAGAAAGTGAAAATTTATTTGGCGATTATAAGGAATTAAAAGAAGAAGAAAAGGACTTTATTAAGGGTGGAAGGAGGACCGCTTATTTATTTAAAGATTTACCAGGTAAAAATTAACATTATAATCGATATTACTTTCTACTTTTGTAAATTATAAATAATAAATATATCTATTTTATTCTTTTTCTTGATTAGGATTTATATTTATTCCTAATCCTTTTACACCTAAAGCACAAAAACACATAATTAAAAGATGTCTAAGAGATTTCGCGAAATATCCAAATAAAGGCAATCTTGATACTCATTATTTATTACCAAAAGAAGGTTTATGGAATTTGCATGAAAACATAGTTAATAATGATCTAAATGAAAACCATCCACAATATTTTATTCCGTTAAAAGCATCTGTGATTGGACCTACTAACGATAGTTTTTTAAACGAAGAACAAGGAGAACAATGCTCTTCTTTTTCACAACCAAGGGTAACTGAACAAGGAAAAGGGGAAAAACAAGAGGCGAAGGAAGAGGAAGAAAAGCCCGAACCACCACCATCATCAGGTGTGCCAATATTAACATCATCACAATTAATCAAAAAAATAAGATGGACTACGTTAGGTTATCAATATCATTGGCCAACAAAGACTTATCATTTAGATAAGCGATTGTCATTTCCTAAAGATATTGAATTGTTAACAACTTTTGTAATAAAATCAATTTATGGTGTGAAATTTATAACGAGTGAAAAAAAAGAAAATGAAGAAAAATATTTCATTAATGATTACGATCATAAAAAATGGAAGCCTGAAGCTGGCGTTGTTAATTATTATCAACTTAAAGATAATTTAATGGCTCATGTTGATAAAAGTGAAATAAATATGGAGGCTCCTTTAATCTCCTTTAGGTATGTAGAATGATATGTATAATCCTTTTTAATAGAAAATCAAGTTAACATTTATTTGTAAAAATAATTAGTTTTGGTCATACATGCATTTTTTTAATCGGGGGATCAACGAGAGATATTGCACCCATTGCATTGTACTTGCGCAGTGGTGATATATCAATAATGTGTGGTCCTTGTAGAGCTAATTTTCATGGTTTGTATAAAATTTTCATTTTAACCTATTTAACCTTTTTTTTGAAAAATATATATATATATATTTTTGAATATAAAAAAATTTTTTTTCCCAAGGTGTTCCACGAATCCTAGAAGGAACTCTTCCTAAATATCTTGAACCTTACTATGACAATGATTCCGAATGGAATACTTACGGAGATTATATGTCCAGTGCTCGTATTAATGTTAATGTTAGACAAGTCTTTTAAAGTTCTTTTAATCAAATTATTATTATTTCATTAAATTAAAATTTCACAGATATATATATCATTTGACCTTTTTCATCAAAAACCTGTTAATTGTCGTATTACAAGATTCAAAGTTTGTTTGTTCAATATGCAGACCAACGAACATCTGCGGTGTTAATGCTTTTAAGATTACACGACTTAACAAAATCCATCGATCCATTCAGGGCATTGCCCGAAGCTTTTGAGTTTTCTTTTACGTCAGTCATTTTTATCTTAAATATAACTTTTATCCGTGTAGCTACGACATTCCGAAATGACGATCTTGTAAGACAAGTTTCATGAATTAACTAAATTAGTTGATAAATAAATACGGGTGGCTGATGCGTCAAATTTTCCGAATAATATTAACTCATAATTGCGCGTATTCATTATTGTTATTATTTAAACGATTCAAGTAAATTAAAAAAATTTTTTTCTCAACATTTATTATCAATTTTCTTATGATGATTATGAAATAAACAAACCTTCCAAGAATCGTGTGTAATTTTTAAACCAGTAGATTTATAGCTTTCTGTTCCTTATTTTCGGTTAATTGCGATGCTATTGCTCATTTTCAATCTTACAAGATAAAAAAAAAATTTACTATTCTCTTTTTTATTTATAGACGGAAAAGGAAAAGCTTGACAATAAGATGTCAACCAACAATAGATATCTTGGAAATCCTTTCATTTTGATTTCGAAAAATAAAAGATCAAAAAAATTATATTACAGATTATGCATATCGAAGATCGATTACCGGAAAATTTGTCGAATGTCACATTACATAAGAACTTGGAATTTTTTTTATTTATATTTGATAGTTTATTTAGCATCTAAATTAGTATTAGAATTATTAATTATTATACGAACACAAATTCTTAATTCTAAAGGAGACACATTATATAAAGATATTTTTTCTTTTTTTCAGAAATTTTTTTCTAGCAATTCCTTTCAATTAGTAATTTTTTTTTTTTTTTTTTTAAAAAAAAAACCACTTTTGTTGCGTCCTATTTACTTACGACTTTCTGTTTAGCTGCCCTTTTTTTTTTTTTTATAAAATATATAGTGTGAGAATGCCGCCAGCTGTTGAAACGTCAGTGAGTGGTAGCATTAAACAACACCATGGAGAAATTATTTATGAATCCAATGGTTTTATTAAGAAAATGAATAGAAAGGATAGTCAATTGAACCAGCGTATTCTTAATACTTATACTGGTATGTGGCAAGAGGATAAAAAAGATTTTTCTAATAAAGAAGAAACCACACAATTAAGACGCGATAATGCCCAAAAAATGACAAACGCGTTCTATGATATTGTTACTGATTTTTATGAATATGGCAAGTAATTTCTTTGTATGCTATATTTATAAAGTATTCGTAAATTTAACACTTTTTTTTATAAATTATCAAAAAAAAAAAACTAGGATGGGGAGAATCTTTTCACTTTGCTCGTACTTATAAGGGTGATACTTTTGATCAATCTATTAAACGTCACGAACTATATCTGCCTTTAAAATTAGGAATGGATGATAAACACAAAACTCTAGTAAGGTTTAGTTAGTTATTTTAATTGGTTTAAATTTCTTGAAAAAACTAACCAGATTGATTTGCACGTGCTTCAGGATGTTGGTTGTGGCGTTGGAGGCCCGCTACGCGAAATTGTCAGACTGTCTGGTGCTCATGTCACGGGAATTAATAATAATGCATATCAGATCGAGAGATGCAAAGCTTATTCAAAGAAACTTGGAATAGAAAACAAAACCAACTTTATTAAAGTAAATCATAAGGATAAAAGATTTATTTATCTTTTATTTTAAATCGATTGAAAGTTAATTGGCGAATATCATTTATAGGGGGACTTCACTAAAATTCCACGTGAATTGGATGGTAAATTCGATTCTGCTTACGCAATTGAGGCTACATTACATGCTCCCACCCTTGAATTGGCTTATTCCGAGATTTTTCGTGCTCTGAAACCTGGAGGTTGCTTTGCAACTTATGAATGGGTTACAACACCTAAATATGATGAAAATGATCCCGAACATAGACGAATCATTCACGGGATCGAGGTTCTTAATTTAAAATGTATTTATAAACCATTCATGATAATAAAATTAAATCTCTTTAATCTTTGAATTAGGAGGGTAATTCGATTCCATCATTAAGTTCTTATAAACAAGCTCTTGAAGCCGCGACAAATGTTGGCTTTGAAGTGCTCGAATACGAAGATATGGCTACCTTAAAAGATTATCATGTTCCATGGTATTTGACTTTAAAAGGAAACTTTTCTTTGAATGGATTTAGGATGACTCGAATAGGAAGATGGTATGATATAGAATATTTTTAAATTATTAAAATTCACTTGCGGTATAGTTTAATGATCTCTTTATTATTATTATTTTTTTTCAGGGCAACCCATAAATTAGTTTATCTTCTTGAGTGTTTCCGCATTGTTGCCTCTGGTTCAGCTGATGTTGCAATCATCCTTAATAACACTGCTGATGCCTTAGTTGAAGGAGGAGAATTAGAAATTTTCACTCCAATGTTTTTTATTTTACTTAAAAAGCCTTCAGTATCCCAATGAACTTTTCATAAAGAAAACAATATTTTAATATTTTTTAGGATTTTTATTTTATTTTAATTTTTATTTTTTTCATTTATTAAGCAAAAAAAAAAAAAGAAGAAAATCTTTAATTGTAAATAAAAATACTTTTTGTATTAATATATATAAAACGAATTTAGCATAATGATTCGAATTTCATGTGATTTATCAATGATATTCGGAGGTCCTATTTCCAAACGAAAACTTCTAGATATATCGTATTTCGCTTGTAAGTTTTACTCATGAGGAAGAATTTTCTTATTAAGATAGATTCTCGTGGAACCATCCATACTAAATATGATTTGCGATTCCACTCTTTTTTTTTTTCAACCATTATTTTTTAAAAAATGACCACGACAAATTTACTTGAGGGTACGAATGAAATAATTAATCCTGACACATACTTTCAAGATAATTCGCAACCTTGTTCATTGCCTGATAATGAAATTAAAGTCAAAGAATTCGTAAATAAACATGATAGAGCTGGTAGAAGAATTGTTTTAATTACGGTACTAAAATAATTATAATTTTCTTATCTTTATGATATGTATTTTTTTAAAATTAACCAATTTTATCCATAGAGCGGAGGAACTACTGTACCAATTGAGAACAATACTGTAAGATTTTTAGATAATTTTAGTGCAGGAACTCGAGGAGCTACTTCAGCTGAATATCCTTTTTAGTAACTTAATTCTTTTTTATAAAAAAAAAAGAAAACCAATTTTAATCCTTAACAAGAAAAAAAAATTGATGTAATCTAAAACACATATTTTCTTAAAGTAGGATATGCAGTAATCTTTATGCATAGGCAATTTAGCTTACAACCATTTAGTAGACATTATACTCATTCAACGAATTGTTTTCTCGATTATATGGAATTAAAAGATGATGATAACATTGAAGGTAAATAAATCTATACAACTGATTCCACATTTTATATTTATCATCTAAAAAAAAATTCATTCATAATAATATAGTTAATCCAAATTATTCTCAAAAAATGAAATCTGTATTGAAAAAATATCAAAAAGTGAGTTATTTATAATCTATGTAAAAAAAAAGTAGACATGTATTTTCTTTTTTTTTTTAAAAAAAAAAATCACTATTATTAATAATAATAATAATATTTTTTTTTTTCAGGTAAAACAAGAAGAGACACTTTTGATACTTAATTTTGTTACTCTATCAGATTATCTCTTCCTTCTTCGTAGCGTTACACAAATCATGGCTTGTTTAAAAGAGCGCGCGATGTATTATCTTGCCGCTGCTGTTAGCGATTTTTTTATTCCAGCTCAGAAAATGGTAAGATTTTATAGGTTATTTTATTTATTTATTTTGAAATAATTAATATTATTTATACTAAATTCTTTGAATATAATCAAGGTTCAACATAAGATTCAATCTGCAGAAGGTGGTTTAACCCTTTCAATGGATCAAGTGCCTAAATTTCTAAAGCCTTTGGTCAACAATTGGGTACCAGAAGGATTTATTGTTTCTTTTAAGGTTGGATAATAGTAGTAATAAAATCATTCCTTTCCTTGATATGAAATATTATCTAAAAAAAAATATTTACGTTTTTATTTCTTATACAGTTGGAAACAGATCCTTCTCTATTAGTTTATAAATCAAGGCAAGCCTTAACAAAATATGGACATCAAATCGTCATTGGTAACCTTTTAACTACGAGAAAACTTGAAGTAGTATTTATAACAAAAGATTCTGAGTTTAAGATAAAACTCACTGAACACGAAGTAAAAAATGAAATTGAGATTGAATCAAAGATAATTCCTGAATTAGTTATAAGACATGACGAGTGGATTAAAAATGCTGAAATCAAATAATTTTATCCTTAATTTCTAAAGTCAATTATTCATCCTTCATTCAAAGGAAAATATTTAAATAAAAAATTGCACATTACGATTACGTTGTCTCACATTAGGACTAGATGTGTTATTTCTAAGTTGACTAAAGTGTTGAGACCAATTCACAGATTCATTTGAGGATTTTAATATATTCCATTCGGATTGCGTCAAAGAATGTTCAACGCTACCAATGGAATGATCTCCCCAATATTCCAATGAAGTTGCTTTAATTGTGTTCTCATCATTCAAGCATGTGGGATTATAAACGACATTCCTGTGTGTAAGTGCACGTGTTTGTTCATCGCATTGCATGTTCTCCGATATCGTATATTTATTATTATTAATCAAGGGTTTTAGTTCATTCTTCCGTAATTAAAAAAATTAATTTATAGTTAATGAAATTGTCAGAATAAAAACTCAAATAAATTCTTAAAATTATACCTCTCGAATTGGATCGTCTGTAATTGTCGCGTATCTAATACGCGAAAGTTTGTCACGATGTCTTTTTACGTTCTCACACATTCTACAACGTGGATTGTTAAACGGTGCAAGATTTTCATATCCTTGAATAAATTCATCTGATTGAATGACGCGTTCTTTAAAGTCGCGAGGCAAAAATGGATTTGGTTCATTAACAAGCGATTTAGTTGCTTTCCCGTAATCCGATGTCAGAATCTCGTTAATTTTATTGAATAATTCTTGTTCTTTGTTCTTTTCTTCGGAAACCACATCAATATTATCATATTCATTGACACGTGATTCCAATGCTTCGTTGTCTCTTTTGGGAAGCTCTGAAAGTTTATTTGCATTATTCTCGATTATTAAAATTGGACCTTCGTCCAGTTTAGGTAGCCATCGAGAAGGTTCTTTATTGTGGGAAGTTGAATGTTCCGCAGGGTCGGTGGAATAATTTGGTTGTACACGACCATCAATCATATTTTGGTTTGTCGTAAACGGTTGACAACAGTTATCGTTATCATTATCTTTTAAATTAATTTCATACAAATGCGATGTCTGAAAAAGGTGAATAAGCATTAAGTTTGTAGCTTTTATTTCATTACTGTTGAATGTTTTTGAAAAACGTTCATTTTTCAAACAAACAAATAAAAAAAAAAGTGTTAAATAAATAAATACATTTATCAGTTCATGTATCGTCGAACCAAATTGAAGAATATCAACTTTACGAAGATATTCTGATGAATCTTGCATATTTGCCATGTTAATGATAAAAAGAAACACTTTTTCTGGGAATTTTTTTAAATACCCAAAATTGATGGCATTTATTGATTCTTGAAAAAGTTAGGCCATAAAAAAATAAAAAAAATAAATAGTGTGTGTATTGTAAATAAAATAAAAAATTGGATAACTAACGCGTCATGAATTATAATGTAACGCCTAATTCGGAAAGCGCGAGTTTTTCCTCAGATTAGTTAATGATCCGATCCATCCGATCGATCTGGGGACCGAAGTCGATATTTAATAATATATAGTAATTTAAAAAAGAAAATTTATTTACGAAATGAAAATAAAAAAATATCTTTGAGGAAAAGATTAAAAAAGCGTCAAAACATGAAATAAAACAGGAGAAAAATCTCACAAATGTTATGTCGGAATCTTGTTATTATTTTTTAATTTTATTTGTTAATTAAATTTAATAAGTTATAAACGCATAACCAAATCCTGCGACATTGTTGACTAATCAAAAGTTCGAAATTAAAATGCGTTTTCGTTGATCCAGTACAAGAGCTTAATGACATTATATTCCGTTATTGTAAAAAATCATGAGATGATGAAACAAATTTTTTTTTGAAATATTTTTTTTTTTTTTTTTGGAAAATTTTTAAAGAATGGAACGTGTACTAGGTATTTTTGTGGGATGCAATACTTAGTAACTTTGAATTATTAGCAAATTTTTTTAACTATGTATGTTTATCATATTCAACTTAAAAAATTATAATAAATCCTTTTTAGGTAATAAGGATCATTACCTAATTTACCACGTGACGGACCGATCCGGTCCATTTAATGAGATCATTACCTCAGACGCGCTTAATGATGTAAGGTTATACCAGGCCGATCATCAATAAATAATTTAATGTTTTTGTAGTGTCATGTTCAGTTTTCCCCATTTTATTTTTTATTTTTTAGTTAGTCCACGATAGATCTTTCCAAAGGATGCCACTTCCTAAGAAAGGTTTAGTTAAGGACGGATCTTGTAATTCTAACACTTTCACATACTAATAAACATTCGAAACTTTTAGATGTCCCAAAATCTTTCTCTTACAAAAAGGGTTCGTCAGGTTCGTCATCATTGCAAAGATCAATTTTTAACACAAATGTCAAAAATGTTGATGAAATGAAAGCTCTCACGAATTGTTCACCGAAAGAACTGAAGGAAAAGTTGGATAAAAATAATAAATTGCTAGAAAACGAGTAAATTATCTTGAATTCTTTTTTTTTTTTTTTTTTTATGTTTCTTTCAATAGCCTTTTAAAATGATGATTATTATTTTTATTTAAAATTAGGGAGATCATTTCAAAATTAGCCGATAAAGGGCAAAAACTTCGCGAAAGGAATAAACTTATTACTGAATTACTTCAGAAGCATGAATCAAACCTTTTAACTTCCACTAGTGAATTGGAAAATTTGATAAGCAAGATGAACATTGGTGAGGAAGGCGCAATACAAACTTGTGCAATGTCAAAGATAACACCGGTCTCCCTTGGGAATAAAAAAAAAGGGCGATTTTATAACCCAAGTGCTAAAGCAAATCAAATTTCAATTGAAGAGTCCATTAAACTACAAGAACGTCAAGAAAGGCTACAACAGGTTGTTCAATTGAATATAATATTTATATTTATTATTAATTTATTTAATTTACATTCTTTTAAATTTCCAAATATTTAGGAAATTCGAATACATGCATTATCTGAGAAATTTCAACTAAAGACTGTAGACAAAAAGGATCTTGGTTCTAAGTAAGTAAAGAAAAGATCCATCAATATATAATTTAAAATTCATTGGTTTAATCTAAACCAATTATTAGAACAAATCGTTATGCCATTGAGAATGACTTATCCGAAGGATCATATGATTCGGATTCAGGTGACGAAGAAAATGAGGAGGAGGATAATGATGATCATTTATAATTGTCGACACGCGATAACAACAATTCTCGTCAAATGCGGTGACGAGCATACATGACAAGAAAAAGGTTATAAAAATTTACAAAGCACGTAATCTGTTATGTACTAAGAAAATCTACTTAATAGAAATTAGGATAATTAGGAATAATTAGAAACAATTTTGAAAATAATTTAAGGGGTTAAATTGCTTGGTTAAAATATACTAAATAATGATATCATTACGACGAACGATCTTACTTTATATGCAATTATTCAATCAATATTATTATTAATACATATGAACTCATAATTCCTGTAAATTAGTTAACTATTGTATATTAAAAAATCAATAAAAAAAAATTATTTTAATCCTTGAACTTTCATCTATGCTATTACATTATAATAATAAATGATCGTTTTGTAAAGGATGTACTTGATAATCGAACTTTTATAAGAATATCAAAAATATCATTGACGTCGCCTACTGAATTTTAAGATGAACTTCTTCACCATGAAATCGGTATATATAAAGAATCAATTATTTTATTCTTGAAAAGATAAATTGTTGGATAATAGCATTTGTTGTTAAATTTGAATCATATACTGATAAAAAACTTGGATCTTCAAATATAATTCCTAGTATTCCTGTAAAATTCTAAGTGAATAAAAAATTGTTATATAATATTAAAGTGATCAACGGGTCTTCATTTTTTTTTCATTACATTTTTACAATTTTTACATTTATTCATACATTTTTTATTATGGATCTCTCAAAAAGTGACGAGACAGTCAAACCAATTACCACTTTAACACACTCTCAAGAAAAAAACAATGACCAGAAGATCAAAACAACACTCCGACAAAGGTCTCTGCTTTTTTGGTTGGAAGCAAATAAACGAAAATCAAATACAACGGCCCGACTTCATGACAAGTAAACTATTCCTTTTTTTTATATACATTAATTATAAAGGAATTAATTATAAATTAATCTAAATAAAAAAATTTTACTCGAAGTAGTACAGTGATAAAAGGAAAATTTAAAGCAGTGGATGCGAACGAAACAAAATTTCGGTTTGAAAATTGGGAATCACCAGTCGGAATTTATGATCAAGTTGTTATACGTGGTAGTGATATAGAAGTTTTAGAATTAGAATTCACTGAATAAAAACCAATTTACAATATAAAATTACTATTTTATTTAGTCATTTATTAATCGGCATTTTCTTTTCATTATCATTGTCTTCGTCATCGTCTGAATTTTCATCACCTTCATTTCCTTCTTTTTCTTCATCTTTCTCATTCGTTTCTCCCTTTTCAACCATTCGTTTCTTCTTCTCTTCAAGTTTTTGTAATAAGTTCTTCGCAGTATTAAATATGCCATTCGTTGAAGCCCCACAAGCATAACATTTTGGACTTTTAGAAAAATTTTGTAAAGCACATCGTTCACAGAAATAATGCCCACATCTTTTTTTTTTAAAAAAAAAATAAAAAATAAAATCATAAATATGATCATTTTAAAAACACAAACATTAAAAAAAAAAAATTACTGTGTGACGATAGGATTCTTGAAATTTTGTCGACAAATAATACAGGCAAATGGTAATTCTTCCTCACTCTCTTCGTCACTATTCTCCACGAGAAATGCATTAGGATCTTTTTTCAATTTTCCATGCATTTCTTCCCATTCTCTTTCTAATTGCCATCCACTCTTATAATCACCTCGATCATGTAAAAATTTACACGAATCACCATATCCACAATATCCCGTTTCTAAAAATGAAAATGATTTATTAGCATCTAAATTAAACTAGTTATATAAACGATTCACGTATACCTTTATAATCTTTACATATGTCGGGTTGGTAATCGAATCGTGAAGTTACCCGAATATTTGATGGTGCTCGAATTGGCCCAGCTCTATAATAAATAAATAAATAAATATATATGTATAAAGATTACAAAAACGAAACATACTTTATTTTTGAACTCGCGGCACTTCCAGCAGCTGTATCACGTTTCTTGATATAGGATTTATATGCATTTGCCCCTTTATAAAGGTTATCATCGAGTGCCTGAATTATGTAAAACGTATTAATAATTATTATATATAAAAGATAAGCTTTAAAACTTACTTCTTCGGCGGCCAATTTCTTCTCCAATAAAGCTTGAGCATCTCTATCTATTTCGGTATCCCATTCAGCAGACCTAGTAGCAATATCTTCAGAAGTAGAATTAACGGCAGATTTATTGGCAGTATACATGTCACTAATTTCCTCTCTGGTAACACGTCTTCCTTTTTTTGAAGCCTGTACAAATGGATGTGATGTATCTAGTTTTCGTTCTTTTGTTATCACCGCTGAAGAATTATCTTCTTCTCCTGAAACATTAACACCAGGTGAAGGTGACTTTTTACGTTTTCGAAGATTTACATTTAAATTCGTTTTCTTTTTAAAGAATGGCACTTTTATGGGGTCGTCCGACATTATGAAAACTAGAACGACAAAAAAAATATTTTTTTAAGAAGTCATGTACATACATGCCTTTATATGGAGGCTTTCGTAGATCCCTAACCGGATGTGATGTTTTAACATTTATATACATGCTTATTTTTAAATAGGATTTTAAACTTTAATTGGTTAAAAATTTTTATTATTTTAACTCATTATTTTTTCATTTTTTGGTGAGTTTACATTAACTATTTTTTTTTTTATCCTAGAGTAGCATAACAATGGTATAGGAATGCTAAGAGATTCGTTAAGAGGCTACAACTGTCTCATGATCCCTTTTAAAGTCTATTTACTACTATCATATTAGAAAAAAACCATAAGTATATGCAAATTAGCCTCCTACTCTTGATAGCTTAGTATTATTAAAAATCAGCCATTACTACTGGATAGAGCCTAACTTTTGAGGTCTATTAAGCCGTTTATTACTAAATAACATAATTTTATTATTTAGTAATAAATGACTTGAACTAGGTTATTTGGTAATATAATAATCTAATTATGACTAATTAGTGATTAAATAAATTAATTATAACTAAATAATTTAGATATTATTAAATAATCTAAGTATTACTAAATAACTGGTAAGGTTATTTAGTCATATAATAACCTAATAATAACTAAATAACTTATTTTTCATAATCTAATTGCGGTGATTTTTTATATCTGTTTGTTTATACTTATTAATTTCCTTACTTTTAACATGGTTTTTCTTTACTTCTTTCTTATATATTTTTTTATTATGTTATTAAATACTATAAAGTCTCAAAAATAAGCATCTTCCAAAAACAAGCGCTATCTGATTAGAATATTATCCAAAAATAAGTACTCCATTAAAAATAAATTGATACAGCTGCAAAATACAAGATTGATATTTTATTAATTATTTATTAAATAAAATTAACAAGTTGTATTATTATAAGCATCATAAATATTATTATCAAGAATATCCTTGTAAATATCCCTATCATCAATAACCAATTCCTCATTATTCAAATTTTCTAATGAATCATTACACTGCATTCACAAAAGAATTGATAATAATTACATTAGAAATCTTTTTCCATAAATTTTTACCCAATTACAAATATTACTAATGTTAACGTGTAATTCTTGCGAACTACAACTGTTAGACGAGGTGTCAGAGTGTTATTTCTTTTTAATTAGCGCAGTAATCTCAAGGCTTTTACAAGTTTATTATCATAACTAATTCAAGTAAAGGTTACAAGTCAAGGTTTATACGGTATTTCATGGTCAATAATTCACAAGGTATCAAGTAATTATATTTTCAAGTAAGATGTTTATTGATAAGAATAGAAATAGAATTAAAGAAAATAAAAGATATGACAAGAGA